AACACAACAGGCAAAGTTTTATTCTGACTGTTCAAAACCGCCAACAGGGGACAGGAGAAAAAAAAAAAGGCCCCATCTGAGCACAGAATTTGGAGTCATTCAGGCTTTTTGCAGCTTGAACACCTGCAAAAATCTGATGAGCAGCAGTTAACTAATGAAGGGTCGGATTATGTTGGCCTTTCTCATCCTATTGATTAGATTTGGGGTACTCAGAGATAAGAACAGCAAGAGTTGGTCCTAATTTTTAGCAGCTGAAGTTTGGGAATGGAGGTGGAAGTGGGTGTGTGTTGCATCCTGCCCAGGGATGCAGCCAGACATGTTATTAAAATGCAGGGGACATCCTGACTCTGGCAGATGCCCCAGGGTGATGTTGTGAGAAGCTGCAAAGATGGATCAAACTGATCATTTGGCCTGGTTTGATACGAGTACACGAGCACTAAAAAGTAGGAGCTGGATGAAAAAAAGAAACCCTAATCTTTCTTGCTCAAACCTGGAATTCTCTCCCTAATGTAACAGTAATGGCTGTAATGTCATTTGTGTTGCATTTGTGCAATGCATTTCGTAGCTTTCCACCTCTACCTTTTGTCCTTGTCAGCACAGACACTTCTTGGCTCCTTTCCTTTTCTTTCCTCTTCCTTTTATCTCATAATTCCCTGCAACAATTCTTTTTTATTTAAAAAAAAAGCAGCAAAAGCAAAAAACCACTGAACAAATCACATGGCACGTCTGCCATCAGCAGAACAAATCCCAAAAGCAAAAAAGGCAGTGATTGCATCAACCTCATCCCTTGGCCTGAATTCCCTTTCCTTCCTCCGTGGCCAAACTCCTGAAGCTTTAACTCCATTTTTTCTCTCCTCTGTCGGGATGAACCTTCACCAGTGGAATCAGTCAGTGGCTCTGAGACAAAAAGTGGGTTAAAATGAAACAACAGGTTCAAGTTGTGGCCTCTCTTCCCCTGTGCTGTGTCTGTTCTCATTCCCTTCTGCATCTGCCTGTGCTGCCACTCATATTTTAAGTGTTCCTTCCCCCTCCTCCAGCCCCAGCTGATCATGACACTGCTCAGGGATGACTAAAGCCACGCACAGCAGCTTCATGTGACCCTGTTGTCACTCGGGGAGTCATTTTTTTTCCCCCTTGGTTCCTCTCAAACATTCCCGGGGCCCTCAGCTCACGAGCCTATTGCTCCCTCTAGAGCCCTTCCCAGCTGCTCTGGAGGACCACTGGAATCGTGGCAGGTGGGAACTCCCTGCTCCTTCTGCTTCCAGCCTCTGGGATGCAGGTGGGATGCAGGCTCCAAGTTCCTGTATTTCAGGCACCTCCAGATTCTTCCTTCTTGGAGGCTGATTGTGGAATCATGGAATGGTTTGGGTTGGAAGGGACCTTGAAGATCATCCAGTCCCACCCCCTGCCACGGGCAGGGACACCTTCCACTGGCCCAGGTTGCTCATTTCCCACATCAGGTTGATCTTCACCTCCTGGTGGTCCAGGAATAGTATTGCTGAGCAGGTTCTGGCAGATGATTTCAGAGAATCCCAGAATTATTTGGGTTGGAAAAGCCCTCCCAGGCCACAGAGTCCCCCCTGTGCCTGATGCCCACCTTGTCCCCCAGCCCAGAGCACTGAGTGCCACGACGTGGCACTCAGTGCTCTGGGCTGGGGGACAAGGTGGGGATTTGGCACAGTTTGGATTCAAAGCTCTGGGAGGTCTTTTCCAAGCTCAGTGATTCTGGAATTCTCTGACTCCAGCTGTCAAATCAGCAATAATTCTTGAGGGCTCTTCTGACAAACCCACCAACAGCATCCAGACAACATTTCCAAAGTCACTGTTGTATCCCGGCCAGGAATGCTCCTGTTTCCATTTCCATCACTTTTTCTGGGGAAGGGTTCTGACCTTAAAGCTCTTGCAAAAAACAAACATCACCCAGCAGCTTTTTCCTGCTCTGGCTGGGAGGGAAGAGCAGGTGGAAGAAGTGAGTCCCGTACTCTGCCCTCACACCTACGAGGCCTTGATGTCTGTGGGAAGGGTTTCCAAAGGCAGAGCCCGGCTCCCAACCTCTGGACAATTTAATCCTTGTGCTCTTGAGGTGCCATGTGCCCAATATTAGGATAGCACAGAGAGGGGAACAGTGGCTGAAGTGACTCTTTTCCCCCCCCAGCAAGGCACAGCTCGATGTCACCCATCAGCCCTTTCACCCTTCCAAAGGCTCCCAGGATGGCACAGCAACAACCACAGCTTCCTGGGGCATGGATCACACACCTGAGCTCATTTATGAGTGGTTTTCCATGGATTTATGGGAATGTTTAACCCAGGGAATCTGTTGGCTCGTTCTGGTTGGCTGCAACTGCCGGGACATCACCAAAATCCTTATCGTGGCTGTTGGGGGCATCCAAACAAGGCCAGAGTTTCAGAATGACTTTTTTGGGGTGTTTGGTGCCTCTTTACAGCCACCAGAGAGGTCAGTCCCCAACATGAGCTGTCTGGCTCAGTTTTGTAGGTGCACACACATGTGTAAGTGGATTATGCAAGCGTATTTGAAAATAAAATCTGTTTTATGGTTGTATCGTAACACATTAAAGCAAGGAGGAGAGTTTTATGGTGCTGCTGTCATCCCAAAACAGGTACAGCCATAAAACACCCATTTCCCTGACAATGCCTCCAGTCTAAATGTGCCTTTGTCAACCAGACCCATAAATGATGAATAATGCAGAAGTGATAAAACCACTTAATAAAGGCGAATGTAGATGAAACAGAACAACCAGAGGAAAAAAAAAAACACCCAGCCAGAATTATTGGTAAGAGCAGTGAGTGACACGGAGGTTTATGGTTATATAGGCCTGTGGTTAACCAGTATGTGGTTAATGAATAGTCTTCTGTCAACAAGAAGTAAGTTAAGTGTCTTCCTGCTCTTGCCAGCTCGTGTCACAGCCTCACACGGGCTCAGAGATTGTCTGTTCTGCAGAAAATCTTGGAAGTTACTTCACCTCCCTCTTCTTTATTCTAGAGACTAGTAGTGTGGCCATGTTTTACCACATTTCACTGTTGTTGTTTGGGTTTTTTCCTGCATTTATTTCGTATATAGAAACATCTCGAGAGCCTCCTAAAGAAATAAATTCACGACGTGTTCTAGCAGAGTTGTCAGAAAAAAAACAAAACCAAACAACCAAACTGGAAGCAAGATGGAAATACTGCAGATTAGTAAAGAGAATAAAGTGTATTTTCAAGGTTCTTTCAGTCCTAGTGATCTGAGTGTTGTATATAAGGATAGAGAGAAATTAGATTTTGGAAAGAAGGACTCTGACATTTGTTAAGTCTAATGGGATGGGTGGTAAAGTTTTTTAGGGGGAAGTTTATCAAACCTCGTTGCTGATGCCTCATAGAGAGATCTGCTGTGCTGTCAGGGTGAGATTAATCAAGCTGTAAAGCTGTAATTGGTATTTAAAGAGTGTCAAGAGCCATCCTCGCTCAGGGGGGGGTGTAGGACCCAAGAGTGGGTGGGATTCAGGGATCTGGAATCATTTTGGCTTCTGCAGCGATGATTTCCATCCCCAGAACTGCTTTCTGGCGAGGATGTGGAGGTGGGAAGACACTGGGATTTGTGTTCCAGCTTCTGGGGCTGTGATTCAGGATTCCAGTGGGATTTAGGGATTCCCATCACTGGCCACGGGCTTCCTGCGAGATCCCAGCCCAGACACTTCACCTCCCCACGGCTCCTCACCCCTGGGGCGGGGGGAATGCATCCCAAATTCCCAGGGATGTGCTGAGGACAGTTCCCAGCAGCCCTGGGTGTGTGTCCTGCCCTTGCATCAGCACCAGGGCAGGAGCTGCATCAGGGGAAGGATTGAATTGCAAGGGAATGCATATGGGGAGGGGGGATAATATTTAAATTTATCCTTATTTATGGAGCTAAATGGAGCAAAAATAAATAAATAAATAAATAAAAATAGGAAGGTTTGGAAAGGAACTAACTCAGCACTCAGGAGGGCTGGAGCCAAGTGGTAAAATGAAAGAGGCAGATCTCCATGTGCAACCTCAGTTTTCTTACAGCAGTTCCTGGTTATCCAACTTGGGGTGATGTCCCCTGATGTCTCCTGCTGATACCAATGATTTCTGGCAGCCTCTGAGTCCTCTGTGATGCCGAGAGAACTGTGCTGAGCCTGCTGACAGTGCAATGTTTGCACTGCTGCCCATGCCAAGGCTGTCATGAATGCACAGATCAGGGCTGATCAAAGACGCTTTGGACGTTGCTTTTGATATTTAAAAAAAGCCAGAAGTAAATCCAGGGGCAGCAGCACTTTCCCCAGCTCAGAGCTATGCCATGCACATAACAGTTTGGAAGAGGCCTTCATGGTTTTCTTGCTGAATAATAGAGAAACTAAGCATTATGCTCTGCTGTGTCCTCAGAAATTGTTTTAATTCTCTGCGGACCAGCTGCAGGGATTTTTTTATTATTATTTTTTTCCATTCCCTTCTTTCTTGGCATGGCAGCAGCAGATAATTTTTAAAGGGTTCTGGGTCACAATATGGAGTTGATCTCCTGGTGGCCTCGACCACAAAGTGTGGGATTTTACGATCTGAGCACCCAGTTCTCTTTAATTTTCACAAGTGCTGCTGCTCCAGATTCCCGTGGCAGTTCTGGAAGAGTCAGCCACGATTCCTGAGCCTCCCTGAACTACCACCCTTCAGAAAGCACAGATAACATCCCAGCAGTCATGCATATCAGATAAACTCCAACTGTTAGGGGTAACCTCCTTTTTTTATATATACAAACAGAGCGTAGATCATTTAAATACAAATTAATTCCTTTCCCCTGAAAGCTTTGAGCAGCTGCCACGGAGGGGAACGAATCCAGCACCAGGATTATACACCCCACTCTCTGGGCACAGCTTTATGTTCAGCTGAAATGTTTCAGTGCCATTCAAGGTGTTTGAGCGAGTGTTGCCAGAAATGAGTAACATTTCTCAGTAACATCTTTGTTTTGTTGTTTATTTTTCCTGTTGCAGGGAAAAGCTTCACGTTGACAATCACGGTGTTCACCAACCCCCCCCAAGTAGCCACATACCACAGAGCCATCAAGATAACAGTGGATGGACCTCGGGAACCCAGAAGTAAGTGAGCTCAGGATGGCATTTCCAGGGGGATAAGGTGGTGGATCAGGGCAGGGCTTGGTGAAATCCGGCGTTATCCAGTGCACGTGGAGCAGGGGGAATGTTTGAAGCCACAGCTATCCTAAGAATGGCTTTAATCATCCCTTCCCAAAGGGATGATTATCTGGTTTATGATTATTTGGTGTCCAGCTGGTCCAGGCCGTGACTTGCATTTTTCTGAAGCACCTCCCCAGAGCTGACTTGGCTCCTAGACAAGAGCTGAGAGGAGGGATGCTGGGAAAAGGTGGGCAGAGGATACCTGACACATCATTTCTTGCTAGTCTTGCCTTTCAGATGTTAAGAGGATCTTAAAGCATTGGAAACCAATATGTCATTGATCCGAGCCTTCAAGCTCAGCCACCCTGCAAACATAAATAAGTGCCTGAGACAGGACATGAGGCTGTTGCCTCATGGAGTTCATAAAATCATAGAATGATAGAATCACAGAATCAGCTGGGTTGGAAGGGACCTCTGAGATCATCAAGTCCAACCCTTGATCCAACCCCGCCGTGGTTCCCAGCCCATGGCACTGATGCCACATCCAGTCTGTCCTTAAACACCTCCAGGGATGGAGAATCCACCCCTTCCCTGGGCAGCCCATTCCAAGGGCTGAGCACCCTCTCTGCAAAGAAATTCTTCCTAATATCCCACCTAACCCTCCCCTGGCACGGCTGAAGACCCAACCCTCTTGTCTTGCTGATGGTTGCCTGGGAAAAGAGACCAACCCCCCCCCGGCTCCCCCCTCCTGTCAGGGAGTTGCAGAGAGTGAGGAGGTCTCCCCTGAGCCTCCTCCTCTCCAGGCTGAGCCCCCCCAGCTCCCTCAGCCTCTCCTCACAGCACTTGTGCTCCAGTCCCTTCCCCAGCCTCGTTGCTCTCCTCTGCACCTGCTCCAGCCCCTCCATGTCCTTCCTGAGTTCCCTGTGCCTCATGCTGTGGCAAAGCTCAGGAGAACCTGTTTGCTCAGCCAGCCAACCTTCCCTCTTCTCCTTCTTCTCTTTTTTTTGAAGGAATGGAGTACAAGGAGGAGATGAAGGGTTTGATATCCCCGGGGAATTACCCAAACCCTTCCCACAGGTGGTTGTTTTGTTCAGGTGGTGAGGGCAGGGAGTTGTGTCTGGGGGGTGAAGAGAGGGGGGAGCAGATGTGCGGGGAGAGAACGTTCAATCCCAGACTGGTTTGGGTTGGAAGGGATCTGAAAGATCATCCCAGGTTGCTCCAAGTCCTGTCCAACCTGGCCTTGGACACTTGCAGGGATCCAGGGGCAGCCACAGCTTCTCTGGGAATTCTCTCTCTCCCAGCCCCTCACAACTCTTACAGGGAACAATTCCTTCCCAATATCCCATCTAACCCTGCCCTCTGGCAGTTTGAAGCCATTCCCTCTTATCCTGTCCCTCCAGCCCTTGGAAATAGTCTCTCTCCATCTTTCCTGGAGCCCCTTCAGGCCCTGCAAGGCCACAATCAGGTCACCCCAAAGCTTCTCCTCTCCAGGCTGAACAATCCCAGCTCTCCCAGCCTTTCCTCCCAGCAGAGCTGCTCCAGCCCTGGCATCCTCCTCTGGCCTCTCTCCAGCAGCTCCATGTCCTCCCTGTGCTGGGATCCCAGAGCTTGTGCCTGTTACCAGAGGCATTTGTTGGCCTCAGCCACAAACCCAAATGGGGCATTTTCATACTTTTATCAAAATGTAAATTGTGGTTTGTGGTTGGTGTCCTGCACTCCTCCTGCACCCTTGGCAGAAGTTCTGGCTGTTGCTTGAGTGGGAATTATCCCGGGAGGACAGAACAGCAGGACTCAAACACCCACTAGAGAACGAGACCCACAGCTCGGGGCTGCTTCTCTAGAAAAGAAATGTTTGAAACTGCAGCTAAAATAGCTCAGAAAACTCACATTTTCTTCTCAAGCCTTCATTTGCCTGAGCTGCACCATGATGCTGCACGTGTTTAGTGGAAAAATCTGACCCGTGTATTTTGGACTTGAGGACAGACTTTCAAACAAAAACTGCTGGCAGGGTAAAGCCTTTTATTTAGTTTGGTTTGTTGTTTTGTTTTTGTTGTTGTTTTGGGTGTTTTTTTGGTTGAATTGTCCCTGAAAAATCTCCCCAGTGAACCAGGCAGCTGTGCACATGAAAAAGATATTTGTATATGGAAGTGGCAGATTTGTGTATGCAACGACCTGGGCATGCTCGGGGTTTGCAGACAACAAAATAAACTTTAGTTCTTTGAATATACATCTGCTGGAAGGGTAAGAAACAAACTCATCCTGCAGGCACGGCTTCTGCTCTAAATCAATTCTTCAGTTGGTGTAATAGTTAATATTTAATAAGATTCTACATTTTAAAAAGGAAGTGGAGATATGATACGGGCAGAGGGAACATACGTGTCTTCCCGACCCAAATGTGTGCAAAAGCTTCCTGGTCGTTAATTTAGGATGTTGGAAGCAAATCAGCTGCAGGGGGGAGGAGGTTTTCTGCCTGTCATCAGGAAAGGCCCCTGTGGGAACCCCCCCCCTGCAGGAATGCACAGCTCCTTTATTGCTGAGTCATTCCTGACACAGCACAGAGGGGTGATGGGATCACGGGATCATGGAATGGGTTGGGTTGGAAGGGACCTTAAAGAGCAGCTCATTCCAACTCCCTGCCATGAGCAGGGACACCTTCCACCAGCCCAGCTTGCTCCAAGTTTATCCAACCTGGCCTTGGACACTTCCAGGGATCCAGGGGCAGCCACAGCTTCTCTGGGAATTCTATCCCAGCCCCTCCCCACCCTCCCAGCCAACAATTCCTTCCCAATGTCCCATCTAACCCTGTCCTCTGGCAGTTTGAAGCCATTCCCCCTTGTCCTGTCCCTCCAGCCCTTGGAAATAGTCTCTCTCCATCTTTCCTGGAGCCCCTTCAGGCCCTGCAAGGCCACAATCAGGTCACCCCAAAGCTTCTCCTCTCCAGGCTGAACAATCCCAGCTCTCCCAGCCTTTCCAAAGGGACTGACTGCAAGGGGTCTGTGGGGACATTCCCTGACCCCAACTCTGTTTAATCACAGAAGTAGCATCTCCAGCTCCAAAAATGGCATTTTCATGGCATCTGCTTCTGGACCTTCTTTCAGAGCAGTGGGTGCCATTTTCCCCCCTTTTTCCCCCAAACCCAACCCATTTCTGCAGCTTGGATTTGCCTCAGGAAATCAGCTGCCCCGTGAATCTTTGTGCCAGGGCCTCACCACCCTCTGAGCAAAGAATTTCTTCCTAATCTCTAATCTAACGCTGCCCTCTGCTAGTTAAAAACCATTCCCCCTTGTCCTGTCACTCTCTGCCTGCTTAAAAATCCCTCTCCCTCCTTTTTATAACCCCTTCAGGCACAGGAAGGGGCTCTGAGGTCTCACCAGAGCCTTTTCTTCTCCAGGCTGAGCAACCCCAGCTCCCTCAGCCTGTCAAATTGTTATATTATATTACTATTATTATTATTATATTATATTCATTTTCAAGTGGGCTTCAAAGCTCTTTGGGTTTGACTTCTCACCAAGGGTTTCCACGGAGCCAGGAGTCACTCACTGGAGCTGAAGGAATTACCAAGAAAGGTAATTCCAAGTGGTATTTTCTAAGATGTCCTGACTCCCAAGAGATTTGGGGGAGTCATGGGAACAAAATAAGGTGCTGGTGTCTTACAGAGATCTAGAGAAAGTCATGCTGAAGTCCAAAACCAACTCCAACAGGTGTTTTATTTATTGACTTTCTCTGAGGGTTCCAGTGAGTGTCTGTGTTCCTGTGGGAAATACTGGAAGGTGACAGGCCAGGGCAGGGTCAGATCAGAGATGAGGAACAATTTTTCCCTGCAGGAGTGGTCAGGCCTTGGAATAAGTGTCCCAGGGAGGTGGTGGAGTCCCTGTGTCTGGAGGTGTCTGGATGTGGCCCTTGGGAACATGGATCAGGGGTGATCCTGGTGGTGCTGGGTGAGGGTGGCACTGGATGATCCTGAAAGCCTCTTCCAACCTGAATGATTGAATTTCTGCCTGTGCCTGTCCAGACAATAATTCCCATCAAATTGTCACAGCTCATCAAGAGACCCAAGACACTTAAGAATCTGGCTCTTCCTCCACTGCTTTCACTACATGTTTTTTTTTTAAATCTCTTTTGAACTCAGCATTTCTATTCTCTGCTTCTGAATAAATGCTTATTTTCAAAATGGGGTTTTTTTTGTGAAAAGAAATCAGACTCCACTGTCAGGGAGAAGGGCAAGATGACCTAAGCCATCGTTTTCTTCTCCAACTTCTATGATTTCGATGATTCATAAAGCAATTTATGTTTTTATGAGCTGGGTCCATGGGGAAAATCATTAGCAGTAACCAGATCAAGAGTAGTGCTCCTGATGAAAATACTTTTGGTTAGGAAACTTGGTAGGAATAGTATGACTCTTAAATTAAATATTTCCCTTAGGCCATTTGACCTACCGTGCACGTCTGCTGAAAAATTAGGTTTTTTTCTTCTTTTGACTGCTTCCCTCTGTTTTCCTCATTGAATTGTTTTAACCTACATAGCTCTGAAAAATTCACTAATGGACCAGGTGCCTGAGAGTGAGGCAAAAAGGAAAAGGCTACATGGATTTAGCCCTGGTCCAAGGTTAAGCTGGGCATTTAATCTGATTATCCCCTACTGGATATGTAGTTTTCCCAAAGAGGTTTTTGACATCCTTATATCAAAGGGCAGGAGCAGAGAGAGAGAGAGAGAGGAATATATTGCTGAGCAGGGTTCGAGAAGGAGCTTAAAAAGCTGGTCCAAGAAGAGCCTTTTTAGGAAGGAATATTTCTTTTTTGCCTCCTGGCAAAGCCAGGGAGGGACACAGGGACACAGAGTAAAGGACACACCCAGACCTTGATCTGGAGTGCTCCTGTCTCACCTGGGAGGTTCCAGGAAAGCCCATGGCCTGTGGATGTTGGGAAGGAAATCTCCAAATGCCCCCTTGCCCGGCCTGGGGTGGT